GAATCTTTGTAAAATAGAAAATTACATTTAAAAATAGCAGTTGTTTTTTCTTGTCTCCTTTTTTTATTTTTTATGTTTTTACTTTTTTGCAAATTACTCAATAGACTTTTTATACGTCATATTTACCATTGAGTCAGAAGTAGTTTATGGTGAAATTGTTCGATTGAGAGAATAGCAGGATTTACCGACGGTCCGGAAGTCTTACGATTCTTTCATATGACTCGAATGCACGATTTACATTCGATAGCGACGTTTATGCTGATTTCGCGGTCTCAGAAACAATTTACGAGCGGCGTGTTTTATAGTTAATTTTTTACGACGTGTACTTTGACTCTGAGAAATTTTTCGTGACAAGGGTTAAAAAGTATGTTTTACGAGGATCTAATAGAGTCGGCGTTGCATTCTTCGTTAAGGTCGAAGCCACGCGGCAGCGACTTAACAAGCATTCTCATGCGATCAAAGAATCCACCATCATAAAACTCATACAATCGTCTTTGTTGGCCGAACAGATCGACGCTTGCTAATCAACACTTTTTATGATCCAACGCTAGTTACAATGTGTCAATGAGTCCGATGATACTTGAATACACAGATCTAAGAATAAAAAGAAAAGAGTAGCCTTCGAACAGAACTGTAATGCAACACCATAAAGGTGGCATGTATCGAGATATGTAAATGCATTAAATATTTTATTAGAGGCGCTTATATAAAATGTCACCTGTAGAATTATATATGTGTTGCATATACTTTTTCGCGATTATATGTGATTTATTTGTTAATTAATAACAAATTTTAAACAAGAAAAATAAAGAAATTTTTTTTATTAAAAGAGAGAGAAAATTAATTATTTTTATAAATAAAAAAATAAGTTTAGCTAGTTAAAAGAGCGATACTTATGTGATTAAAATTATAGTCTGTGAGGTCACAATTATTTTTATCTGTTCATTTAATAAGATTATCACTTCAGTTATTGCAAGTATTTTGCATTCTGCGATTTTCCTGAGTCACGATACAGGATGCGAAGCACCTTCGTAATCATAGTAAGCTCAAATAGCACCCCTGACCAGTCTGTGTTTAACGTTCTTTGATCTAGTAATTTTCTTGGTTCTGTTTTGTACCCTATCGTATATTCTGCACCTCTTCAACCGTTCAGTTTGTGTTAGATCTTTGCTACGGGTCTTTCTCTCTGGGTATTATTATCAGTCTTTTGTTACATGATATTCAGTTAACAAACCTTTCTTCTTTTTTCGCTGATCACATAACTTTGTTGCGCATTGCAAGAATGAAAATATGTATAATAATAATAACAAAAGCATTACTTATTTTCTCTATCATTATATTTTTCCGCAGGCAAATATTGAAGCATTTATAAATTTTTGCAAAACTTGCAAATTTTTTTTTGTCTACTACTGGACGCAATTATTATTTGAATAACTTTTTCTCGATGTAAAATATAACAAATGTTCAATTTTTAATTTGCTTGTTATATTTTATAACATAATAAATATTGAACTCTAAGGAATTTTATTAACTTCTTATATGCACTTTGTGAACTGCAACTGCCGTCTCTTGTCTGGAAATTTTGTTATGGGATACTACTAATCGCATTTCTTAACTTCTATCATTTCATGTTTGATCAATTTTTACGCAAGATTAATAAGATGGCATTTTTTCGACGCTTTGATAAGCATTTTGATATTAAATAAATGTAGCATTTGTGAATTATGCTATATTCAAGTTTTAGTATTTTATATACACTGCGATTACAATAGATGTACATGTGTTATCAAAGTTACCGTATATCGTTTCTTGCATAATTAATATTTAATTAAAGAATTATAAATATTATTATGAAAAACCAAATGATAAATGTTTTTGTTATTTTAAAAACAGGTAAATTAACATAAAACATGTAAATTCTCTATAATTGAAATTGCTGAAAAAGTATAACAATAAAAAAAATTAACAAGGAAGCGAACGGACGAAGTATCTGTTACTGACTGCCATACAAAATTATCTGTCGCGGCTAGTGTTTCATGAACAGATCGTATTTCTTCGCAGACGGATCAATATAATCAGAGAGTGCGTGCAGTCATTCATAACTGTCGTCATCATCACGTAACGTAAGCACTCTGTCCTTTCGTATCGCAAGCATTAGTGATACGTCCAAATATTATCACGCCTGATATCATTCGCCCGGCGTTCTTTTCTTATACTTTGCTTCTCTTCCACGAAAAGATTCATTTAGCGACCGAATGAAAAATAAATATAAACATAATGTGACGAGATACGCACACGAATAGTCGTTCATCCTGTCGCATCCGTATCGCTGTTCACGAAATCACGTGATACTGCGTTAGTGCCTTTCTTCATATTACGTATATACATATATGTAATTGATTCTGTCACCGATAATACGAGCGCTGATTACTGAGAATCACATAGTAACGAGAGCAGAATTAAACCTGCGATAATGCGCTCGGTCATTTTTTATCTGACGTCTTTTGAATGTTAGGTGACGATTGATATTTGAGAGTCACCGGTTTAACACAAAGTATATGTATAGAAATGATTTATTTATATAATTATATTTGCAATAGAAATTTTAATAATATAGTAATAATAACACGAATATATTTTATACCAAAGTACGGTACAAAATATTTGATTCACAAAGAATCAAATTAATAGATTGATAAAATTGAGGAAAAAATACATCTAATGTAGATAATAATCTTATACAATCATAGACATTATCGCGATGACAAACTTTGATGCTTACTTCATGATGATATACATATATTGAGAATATCGCACGAGAATCTAAAAATATGCTATCCGTATAATGATTACATATTGTGAATTATTTTTTATTTATGGTGGGTAAATAATAAAAACTTGAAGTCGTTACTTGTTCGATTTCTTGAAGGAAAAATTACTATCGCATTGAAAATGGGGTATCATGAATAGAATTATTTTTGTTAAATATGAAAGCTGTATTATTTAAAAATTATTATTATTGCAGATAATTGTTGCTCATTTGTTTTGATTGACAGTCGTTAAAATAAATCTATGAATTGTCTTATTTTTACTGAAAGATGATGTCTATAAAATTCTTTTAAATATATTACCGACTCTTACGATATTTGCATTTGTTTTTTAAGCCTAACATTACAATAAAAGTTTACTGAACACCGTTTAAAATTATGAAGTTTAATGATAGAATGAAATATTAAATGAAAGAATGGAGTAATATGTGAGACTTGTAAAAGTTACTAATAAAGCTGCTATACATATCCGCGATTCACGTAGCGGCGTCCTCCTTTTCGCCCGTAACGGTGCAAAATGGCGTCGTTCGGTGAAAGTTTATTGTGAATAATTGATAGTTGGAGAATGGGAACGAGATCTCTCCGGTAGTACCCTGGTGGCCAGCGGTAAAGATGCACAAAGCGACAAGGGAGTGGAAACAAATCCTGACGTAATATACTCGTGCGATACAGTGTTCCGCGGCTGTGCCGTTGCTGTCGCACCAGAAAGAAGTTTGGAAAGCACGTACACAGACCCCGATCTCTTCCCTTTCCCATATCGACGGGTTCTTCAACCACTTCCTCCTGCACCCCGGAACCCTTGCGTGTCCCAGCCCCTCCCATCGCACTCTATTCTTCCTCTCTCGCTCTCGTCGTGTATTGCCGCGCACACGCGCGCGCATAGCAGCACGTGGTTGGCCGGATTCACCTGCGCGTGTAAAAGGAGGGAACCAACGCCAGGCGTCCCGGCGGTGCGGCACCTGCATCGCGTCGTTGTCTATTCCGTCGAAACGCACATTCCGTTTGAGTTTGCAGTCAAAGGGTGGAAGGGGATTATCGACATTGGCGGAGTGGGGCAGAAATGATGTTGAGTGTAGTGATAGGGTGCTGGCAGGGGATGGGAAGGGGGTCATTTCCTTATTTTAAAAACGATTCATGAGACCCCCTAGAAGGCGGAGCTACGACGGCTAGATGCGTTACCATTGGTCGCCGCGATCTAATATATTATGACATAACAGCCGGAGAACTGTTGTCCGTGATTCTACGGTCGGATAGAGGTGTTGCAACTATTTTCTTCGCCATTGCATCGCTCATTCCTCTGCGCTTTCTAACGAATTTCGTATACCTCTTAAATCCGTATCAGACTACGTATTGGAAATTGCGAATTAAAGATTGAAACGCGACAGTCTATCACAAAGTGAGCTAATACTACAATTAGATACTTCATTACTTGTCCTTAATCTCCAATCTGGTACGAACTTTACGCCGTTCTTTTGCACTATTAGCAGCGGGAATCGACTAGATGCAAACATAACGGGATGTTTCTTTATCAAGAAATGTACATTC